AAGAAAAAAAATTCTGCCTCCACCACTGCCTCCAACACAAGCGCTAGCTTCCACTGTTGTTTAAACATTATCTATCTAATTATTTTATGGTTAGAAGTCGCTTTCACCGTGTTGTTTAAACATTATCTAATTATTTTATGGTTAGAAGTCTTAATTTAGTTAATATAATATCTTATATTATCATGCTTCATCTTAAGTTGAATCATAAGTTGCTAAGTGATTCTACCAGCAATATATTTATCATTGCTCAAGTAACTTTTGTAAGGAACATCAGTGAAGTCTTTGGATCTCATTGCAACTTGCATTAGTAGGATCTTATCCATTCTAAAACATATTTTCATTATATATATTTTTAATTATTTTCATCCTACATTGTTCATGTGGGTGCTCTGATCAGTATTATAAGAATGTTACTTTACCTGGTGTTATGGCTATGACAGTAGTTTGTTGATGTTATTTTTCATCAAAAAGTCGGCTATTATATAATTTAATGATTGAGCTTTATCAACACTGTAGCCTCCTAGGGGATTTGTTGTTTTAACGATTGTTTTTTATCTTCTTGAATCATTGCCACAGGATGGAGAGATATGTTGCTTTCAAGGCATGTAGCAATACTGGGATTTTGTGTTCATTAACTAGGAAGCTGCCACCTTTTGGTCTGTTTTAATGTTTATGAATATGAGATCTCTAAGGCATGTAAAGAAATTGATTGCTTAATGAAATTTCTTTCTCTAAAAACTTTTATTGTTTAGATATAAATTCTTCTAGTGCGGTGAAAGTGTTGATTGATAACTCTCTCGAGAAAAGTCACTTCTTTATGCCGGGTGAAGCTTAGATATCTTATTTAGTGACTTCTTTTCTTGTTAGCTTTTCGCCTATTTTGTGATTGGTTTGCCTGTGTGATTGGAATTGGTTAAATGTAGTATAATTTGGGTTTCTTTTGCAATGAGCATAGTATTGAGGTCTGTTTTAATGAACTTCAACTTTTAGTAGAATTTTTAATTAGCTATCTTTAAATTATTGTTTTTGGTATTTTTTAGATTTCATCAAAATAGATAACTAAATTAAAATTTTGTGTACTATGAATTTGAACTTATGTGCATGAACTATGCATCAAATCCAAAATTTGCATTAGAAAATTAGTGACCTTTAGACATCCTACTTTTGAGGCTATATATAGGCTTTATTTGGAATAACTTTTCAATTGATTTTGTGGTAAGAAAAACATTTTATAAAAAATAATGTGTTTGAAAGACATTTTTTTCACCGCTATTTTAAACTTTTTCCCTTAAAATGCTTTTCTCGGAATTTTTTTTTAAATTGTTGTTGAGAAATGAGCTTTTAATAGCAAAAACAGAGAAAGCTTAAGTTGCCCAAACAAACCATAGATAGGGGAGTGATGGAACTTTGTCCACATATGAAGAGAATGGCTATTTTCCTAATCTTACTTTTGATTCTATCACTTTTTGTAGTCTTCAAAATCAAGATCATTCCATTAATTGTGATATTGATCATGAATTTTTTGTTGGTCATGTTTCATCAATTTTAATAAAATTTAGTCATTCATGAAGAATGTAAAGAAAATTATGATGATTGAACGACATTTAAAATCGTCATAGAAGTCAACTTATATCTATCTATTTCATTAATGCAAACCATCAATTACATCCCATATAATAGGCTGTACAACAATAAATAGTTGTTAAGTACGTGGCTTGCTTATTTTCTCAGGTTCTTGAGCTTCAGGCAAAGGTAACCCATAAGTGCTTCTTTGATGTAGAAATTGGTGGTGAGCTTCTTGGCAGGATTGTAATTGGTCTCTTTGGGGATGTTGTTCCTAAAACAGTCGAGAATTTCCGTTCCCTATGCACTGGTGAGACTTCCAACTGTTATTGCTTTTACAAAACCTTATTCTTTTAATCCTAAATAATTCTTAGTTCCATTAAGTTTGCTCTTCTGAATTGTCAATTCTGGTAATTACCTTTGATTTAACTTCTATGGTCTTTTTGCATAAAAGGGGGAGAAAGGTTTTGGCTATAAAGGAACTATGGCTACCGATATTCACGCGTTTGATATAAGGAATATATCAAATCAAGATCCAGGAGGTGGACTTTGAGCGTCACAGAAGACCAAACGTAGGTTCACCACTTTCACGTATATATATAGACTTCGCTGCAAGATAAAAAAAATGAAAACGAATTTCGGTAACAACCCCACAAAAGCAGATTGACACAAAATGGGTCAATAATACAGATAATATGCAAATAGTAAACCATAAAATGACAAAGCTAAACTACAACAACAATGAAATGCAAAAGATAAAAACAACAAAGATGAATTGTTGACCCCTACACCTAAAGCATGTGCAAAGGAGGCGGGTTTTGGCACTTAAGGATGACTGTACGGCATGAAAAAAAGAGCATCGCAAAAATCAGACATGTACAACTAAATTGAAGGGGTTGGAAAGACACAACCAAAACATCGCTCACGCTAATATGATGCACCTGTCTGCGGAATCGTGAAAGCGTGTCAGAATATTAGCGGACTAAGAGGGAGCCCTACTGCCGAGTTAAACATCGGACAAGAACCTCATTTGACACCCGAAATGATGCCCACGGCGCAATGCTACCAACCATCGATGTAACCCGGATCGAAAAACTGACTTTGTCATTGCAGTTACAGAACCTTGTCAAAGCCAGAAATACCCACCCAAGAATGACCATAACTTCTTAGACCCAACATTAATATCGCCAATCAGTGGCGAAATCTAGCCCCAAAGAAAAAATCCCGATGGGTCATTGGCAGCATGAATCTGTTTGATGACTAGCCAAGTTAACGCACCGACACGTCTACATCCTCGTCTATCGACGAAGAATAGAACAAAACAATTGAAACTAATAGGGACTTTGAGGCCTAACCCTAGGAACTTGAAAACTCAGAAAATCATAAGTCCTAAATGCAAAATTAGGGCAAATCTGCTGAAAAAGAAAGTAGCATGATCTGTATCTAAGGACCCAATCTGTCTTCTTAAGGAAATTTCACTTAGAACTCTACTTGGTTCCACAAACCCTCTGCGCATAAATGAAGACCGAAGAAAAAAAGAAAAAGATATTAGCACGAAAACGAAGGCCAGGGCCGTGAAATTTTTGGAGCCACATGATTATGTGGAAGATAAGTAAAAACTCATGATGGTAAAAATGCCTCTTACTTAACTGACACAATATATGTATTCGTACGAACATATATAAAAGGAAAACATAGCGCACCCCTTTTACTGACTTTTATGCATTTATCACCATGTTAATTTTGAGCGTTCTAAGCAGTAACTGGAATGAACATCAAATCTTTTGTGGCAAGAGAAAATAAATAGCCATAAAAGATAAGAGAAAAGTTGCCTCTCTTTCATATTCCAATAGATTTTATAGCAGAATTTTTAGGTAGCCACTTTATTTTTTCCTTGTCTGCTTCTCGAACCATGGTACTTAACTTTCTATCCGCTCCGTAAAATTTGAAAATTGATTATTTATAGAGTGCGTATGCAAGTTGTGTTATTCCAATTCAGAATAATTAGTGCCTCACTGATGCGAACATCTAGTTTTGGATTTAATCGTACCCCAAAACGAAGCAGAGATCTCTTACATTCATACGAAGGATCTACAATTTGAAGAAAAACTGAGTATAATAATTTGGGCTGTATCGTCAATTTTTCTTTTCCAAACATCGTAAAAAGCTCAGCAGATTTGGATTCACAACGCTCTCCACACAATACAAGACTTCATAATTCAATTATAGCAGATACACATGTTGACATTGCTGAGGATTCTAGAATCTAAATAAAATGCTATACATCTAGGAATCTTATTAGGCAAAAGGGATTTTTATGCATCTAAATGCTATCTATTTGGATCTTTTGCAGGGAACTGGAGGAAGAAGTATTTATGGTCGACAATTTGATGATGAAAACTTTACTTGTAAGTATTCCATTTACTTGTTCCTGTGTTTTTGCAACTTAGTTTAGACCATGCTGCCTATTTACTTCACGGATAACATTTTCTTCTTTAATTTTGTTATTACTAACTTGTACATCATTGTACTTCGGCTTTAGACATAGAGTAGAATTCACTAGGTTTTTTTAAGTCATTCTTTGGGTAGCGTTAAAGTGACATTTTTTTTCCTTTTTTCCCTCATGTCTCTCATTGGAATCCACCAGTATGCTAATTAGCTTATTTTAGCATCCGCAAAAGAATGTATTAAAGTTGTTATGTATTATGGATGTTTTTCCTATCATAGCCAGTTTAACTATGATCACATTTTTTTCAAATGCTCCTTTGAGCCAGTGACTTTCCCTGAACCAATTAAGGTAGCATTGATTGTTTGTAAATAGGTTGGTCAAATTTGGATCGAATACGACGCTCTTCTTAGTTTGTTGGTTTGGAGTTTGACTCCCAACTAAGAGGTCTTGGGTTCAAGTCTCACGTATGTACGTGTGTTTGGGCGCTGCCCCTAATTTCCCCCACCAAAAAAAAAGGATCGAATATTGATATCCCAATCAAACCGGCACTACATCTATAATAAATAAGCACACGTATTTTACATATGTGCTGAACAAATGCTATACCAATATTCTATATATAGTATTGTCAAAGCTTGTTATATATTAATGGGATATAACTTGCATAAACTAGATTTATTTTACATCATCTAATAATGAGCATGAGAAACAAGTTAAATAATCTCAAAATTAAAGGAATTATGCAGAAATTAATTATGACAAAGCTATTTACATATCATATGGCATTTGACTATGAACATAAAAAACAATAATGAAAATATGGAAGAGACATGATTAAATTTGCAATCTATTGTCCAGTGATTTGGTAAATATCCAAGGAACCTACTATATGCATAAAGGATAATGATCCTAATAAAGAAGGATATGCTTATCTTCAAATAAATAAAAATTATGTACCTCAAAAAGTGCAGTACTTTTTTTTAAATTTTTTTTTTTTTAAAGTGCAGTACTTAATTTCATTACTTAAGTAAGATCCAATGGAGCAATTCTTGATAACTATGAACTCAATTTTATTAAATAATCAAAGCTCTTAATCAATCACATATACATACAAACGGGTATAAAAAATTAATATTCAACTAATATAGTTGCAGCTTAGATGATGTGGCATCACAGCTGCCCAGGCAGGATGAAGCCTAACTACCCACGTGGGGCCCAATACCTTTATCAGCTATGGGAGAAGAGGTTTTAAGGGGAACTCTTTGGAAAAGATGTAAGGGGCATTTATTAGTTTGGCTGTTTAAGGGGGGAGATTGTAGAGGCTTAGGGTTTATGTTTTGTTTTGATTTTCTACAACAGCTTTTGTGGGGTATTTGGGTTCCTAGTGGATGCTAGGAATTGTGGGAGAGACAATTCATCTTTCGAACAGTGAATCGAACTTGTATCATCTTACTTTGCTTAGAGATTATTAAATTTAGCTCTATTGGTGTTATTTCTAGATCTATTTGAAGTAAGTTTATATTTTTTTTTATATTGTTGTTTGTTGTTTGGTTCATCAGTCCTATTAAATTGGTATCAGAGCAAGTTTTTGGGACCGATGGCCGAGAGAAGAGTTGAGTCATTGGAAGAAAAGTTGGAGTGGAAAGTATGGGAGCTGTGAACGGATGTGAGATCGTTGAATGAGCATTTTTCAACTATGGAAGGAAGGTTTGGGAATCTAGAGGGGATGATGAAGTGGATGTTGGAGTTTCAAACTAAAGCGGCTTTGCTAGAAGCAAGAGAGAATCAGGAAAATGGCATGCCAAGGGAAGACGGAGAGGTGAAAATTTTAGGAGATGAGGAAGGAATACCCCGCCTTAAGCCTCTACCGAGAAGGGGGATGGATAGTGAATATGGAGGTAGGAGGAAATGGGGAGTAGAGAACAGACGGGCTGAAGTTAAAGGAAGAGAGGGATATGAAAGGAGAAGGGAGGAGAGGGAACCATGGAAAGACCCCGGTGCTCACTTCATGGGAGGCATGGGGGCAGAAAGGGAAATTGGGGTGGGGGAGATCCGAAGGTTAGGAAGATAAAAATGTCAGTGTTTGAAGGCTGTTAACCTCTGTTTAATACAAAAAAAAAATCAATCAAAATAATACCTGTCGGATCCATGAATGCCGGCAGAAATCCCGTCGAGGCCCTCCTGATATCCTGCTGAAATCGGCGCCGTTTGCGTCGCTTCCCGGGATTTCTGCGTGAAACCTGCGACACCAGCCCCGATCACACTCCCATTCGCGCCTATAAGTACCGAGCAAACAAAGTAGAAGCTCTCATATCCCATTCGCTCCTCTCCCGAACTCTCTCGGCTCTTACTCCCGCTCCATCTCCCTCTCTCAGTCGATCGGATGCGATGACACCTTGGATCGGAAACATCTGCAAGAGCTCATTGGCTTTGGAGCTTCGACGACTCGCCCTTCCAGTCGGATCGGATGTTACGACGTTTCGATCGGAAGTAGGAACGGGAGCTGCTTGTTGTGGAGGTGACTTTCTCCCTCACGATCGCTTCTTC